ACCTCTCTGTGTGTCCTCGGCAGTTGTGTGAGCACGTGTGTGTGTGTGTGTGTGCACACTTTCACCTTCCAACATCCCAAACCTCTGCGGAATCACGAAACAAAAGCTATTAGAGATGGCAGCGCGGTAATCTCTTTCCACATGTGCCCACACACGTACACACGTTTCCTTTTCATGCAAACCTTCATAAAAGAAAAGGCAAACACACATAGGAACACACACACATATAGGAACACACACATACACACGCCTCTGAATTCCTTTTCCTACGACTGTCTAAACTTTAGATGTAAATTGTGTGACAGGTGAATATTGAGGAGGAAAGGGATAACAGGTAACATCTTCACTCTGCCACATTATCGACGCTCCACATCACTAAGAAGTGCTTATTCAATATCGTTACCTTGGCAGAGTGCAGGGCACTCACGTCCCTTTGTATTCATTAAAAACACAACATAGACACCTACGTGTGCACTTACGCTTACACACACAGTCACAGAATCACATCCAGTCACTTATCTTTTGGAATAAGAAAAGGGGCTTGTCAGGATGGCACATTGTGTGAGTGTGTGTGTGTGTGTGTGTGGTGTGTGTGTGTGTGTGTGTGTGTGTGTGTGTGTGTGTGTGTGTGTGTGTGTGTGTGAGTGTGTGTGTGTGAGTGAGGGAAAGGCAATGTGCATTAGGGCGATTACAATATCAGCCGCCTCCAGATGGAGGCAGGAAAATAAACAGTGGGAGAGAGAGAGAAAGAGAGAGAGAGAGAGAACGCATGAGGGGAAAGACATCATGAGACAGAGCCTAAGAGAGAGATTGTGTGTGTGTGTGTGTGCGTGTGTGTGCGTGTGTGTGTGTGTGTGTGTGTGTGTGTGTGTGTGTGTGTGTGTGTGTGTGTGTGTGGCAGTCTGCCTGTGTGCGATACAGTTTGAGAAAGTGGAGTTAATTAGCAACTCAATCCCAGTCTATATAGAGAGGACTGAGCGAGGAGTGTGTGTGTGTGTGTGTGTGTGTGTGTGTGTGTGTGTGTGTGTGTGTGTGTGTGTGTGTGTGTGTTGTCCTGCACACGTCTATCAGAATGTTTCATTGGAAGAACCCGAACTATAAGGCAGATACAGTAAGCAAGTGAAAACTATTTCCCAGCTGTCTTTCTTTAACAATACTGCTAGTAAAGCTGTCTCTATGCATGTTCACAACATAAGAAATGGAAGAAGAAGAAGAAGAAGAAGAAGTTGGATTTGGTAATAGAACTGATCTATTATAAAAATGTTTTCCTTAATGGCTTGAAGTATAAAAACCATTGAAAGATTTACTTGCGTCCATAAAAGTTGATACATTGTCAGACTCTGCCCTATTGGTCTCTTCTTCACTTGCCCTATAAGTCTCCTGTTATCTGGAGTAAAAACACGAACAATGCCAATAAAATCAGTTTGTTGTGCTCGCTGTTGACTTTGACATTAAATAAGCCCCTTGTAAAGGCCAACTCACAACTACAATAAAACAAAGACCTCTTGGTTTTGAGAGTACCGGAGTATTCACACAAACGCGCCACGTATACAATGCACTTGGATAAATCCTTACACAGACCCCCACACACACATACAAGCAAATCCTTTTATACAGCTGCTGCTCTTTCATGGGTGATGAAATTCAATAAGCAGTGAAGAGAACTGCCCTCTTGCTGATAACCATCAATGGGGCTATCGATCTACAAGGGTCTGTGTGTGTATGTAGGTGCTCGCACACACACACAGACTCCATCTATAATTCACTCAGGGACTTGGTAAGAGATGGCTCTGAATAATCAGAACAGATCTATACATCTTGAAGGAGTGCATGGAACAGTGGTTTTACTATCCAATTCTACTGCTGACATTTGTCCCCGGACTGCATGGCTTCAAATGCAACCTGTGCCTGTTTCAAAACGCTCTGCCATCTTAATACAGCTTTCATGCAATTACAGGAGGAATGACTTCTTAGTTGTCCTTGTTTTTTCTTGAATGGGATCGCAACCGACCTTCGAGATTGAAGTCCAAGACATAACTTGAAATTCCAGCACAAGAAAAACTAACTTATTCTACTTATTAAGTAGTGAATTAACTCACGAGAACATACTGCATTTAAAGCACATGCATATAGTCTAGCCAGCCCATAAATGACGTAGCTGGTCTTTGATTCTGCCATAACAACCTGCCATACAAAAGATGTGTCTTACTGATCATTTTGGGCGTCAAGCACTCTCAAATTGGCTCGTGTAAAACCAAATGAGCATACTAAACAATACAGCTGATGCGATGATTCTTGGCATCATTCAGCTTTTGGTGAGATATATGTGCAACGTGTAGCTGTGAGAAAGTTCAGCCCTTCAGCTGATACAGAAATACACAAGTGGGCTTCATGATGTAGCCGGCATATTAACTCCGTTGAGTCATCATCACTTATTCACCATGCAGCAAACCTGGACCGCATCCAAAAGTCTGTGTGTCATACTTTAAAGAAGTGCTCTGAAATGACATCACAGCGCTGGAGCCTCCATGATACTCTGTGATTAATGGGAAATCCAGTTTTTCATTGTGAAATCATAGTAATTAATTGTTTGAGGGTGTGATCTAAAATCTGTATTGAAATACACCACTGTGGTAATCATTAAAAATCACGTAAATAAAAAATTGTGAGGTGATATGTGTGTATGGAGGTCTTTTTCAACCTGCCAACCAGGGGTATGTAAGTGTTTCTGAGCACGTCTTTGTGCGTGTGAAGGCGAGAATAAAATGGCTGCCATCATTTTTGCAAGGCCACGTCTGTGTCTATGAGCAGCGGTCTGATGCATTTGACCCTAAAGCCTGAGATCAGGGAGGAGGGAGGGAGGGAGAACAGGTGTGAGGCAGGCTGGTGGCTGGGCAGATGGCCCCTGGAAGAGCTAGCTGGTGCTGCAGAGCCTGGATGGACTGCAGAGAGTTAGCAGCCAACGTTAATACAATCCTTTTTATACAGCGTGCGCAGACGTGCATGTAGATCCGGCAACACACACACATACACGTGCAAACACACACAAACACAGTCATAACCTGCAAACAGCACTTATCATTTACTCTCCCCTCATCCCAGCTTTGTTTACCTTTCATTTACTCTTTCTGTCTCTCTGCCACTCTCTCTCTTTATCTCTGTAAACACACACACACTCCAGGTAATAGTCTTTTCAGTCAAGTCACTATTTTAATGGAAGTCCCAGAGGTTAAAGAATGGACAAAAACAAAAACAGATGACGTAATAAATGACGTGCAGGGAAACAAATTCAAATAGTATGACCACTGCAGTTATAATGATAAATAATACTGATAATAAAAAATAAGTTTGATCATTTAGATCACAATTAAACAGAAATATAGGATACATATATGAATGATGACAGCCTAATAAAAATGATCGAATCTTGGATACACAGAAGACATTAATTAAAAATCTCAAAAAAAAAAAAAAATCTAATATAACCTACTATGTTTTATTGACAATGCAAAATGCTCATAAACAATCCTCGTTTTTAATCTATATTTAACTGGTGGGTCACGCCTTTAAGAGGAGTTAACAATCACGCCCTCGATGCCTAAAAAGCTTTGCAAGGGACTAATCGGCATGCGTAAAAAATGTCCAAAACCCTGTGGGTTTCCAGGAGATATTTTCCTCCCTCTCTAATCTGAGCCGTGAGAACAGTCGGGCATCGACAGCAGGTTGAGCCCCAGCAACCTCCCAACCTAACCCGCATGTCTGAGCTTCTCCCAGTCGGGAAACAGATTCCCACTGGAGTAAAATATAGCCCGAACCCTTTAATTTCAATCCTACGACACTCCATTAAAAAGGGGAAAAGAATATCATTTTTTCTCTTCTTTTTTTTTGTGCTTTTTGATTATTTTGTGATGGCAAAGTCGCAGCGGGAGGAGATGGAAACTTCACATGGATTTTAGAAGATGCGTTTGACAGTTGTGACAGAGCTTTGGAGGAAGTCTTCAAATGCAAACTGTGAAATTCAAAGTCTGTCTTTGACAGCAGAGGGAGAGGAGGAGAGCATGGCTCTTCGCTAAACAGCCAGGGATAGCAAAGTCAAAATATCTTTCCAAGAACATTTTAAACATCAACCTTTTGGAACAGATGTAATGACATTTTCCTATTTTAGAAAATAGTAAACAATTGTCATCAAATTAATGAATACGTTCTGTAAGTGAGAATGGGCCTAAATCCGTGAATTCATCTCTTTATCTATCTCAGGAGTCGCCTCACAATATAACTAATACTCTGAATCCATAAAGTGTTCATGCTACTTCACTTCTCGAAATGGTATTGACACATCGGAAGGATAACACTTGATCCGTGAACTTCAGTGGCCTGTTGCCCGAGGACAACTCTCCATCCCGGGTCCAAGCCCATGCATTGTAAACTGCTTTTTATGGAGACAGGGACAGCTGTGAGTTGGTGTCACTGATTACACAAACTGAACCAGCAATTTATAGAAAGCCAATTGTAGGCTACTTCTGATAACACAAGCATGGAACAAATACTAGTTAAAATGCAGCTCCCAATAGACAATATTATAGGTTTACTCGAATAGTCCTTAATCGTGAGCAATTGGGTTTCAATCTCCACTGTTCAGCCTTTTTTCTTCCATCAGAATAAAACCATAACATGCATTATTACGCACAGCAAAGACACGCATTGTTCCCTCCTGCAATAGGTCTGTCATCACAGTTGATCTCAGACAACGACAATAAAATAAAAATGTTATTGCTGGCTATTGTCATATGTTGTGTTTTAATATAAATGACTCTACGTGTATCAGTCTGGAGCACCGGAGCGGCTGCTTAATTTACATTAAAACATATAAAACGAATCATTAATGTCATTTTATATAGTGGTTCAGCTCCTATTTCCTAGTATTTTCTTATGTATTCTTACAAAGCCAATGCGTAATCAAAATACAAATAATATCCTAAAGCAAGAGAGAAGCCACTTACACTGAAAGGAGGCAGAAATTCCCACCATGCGGTACGTTGATGTGAGAGGGCTAAATAATTTCCAGTCCTTTGGACTCCGCGCAAGGTCCCCTCGATGATCCTCTTGTATCGGGAAAACGAAAGCTACAGAGTCCAGCCAGCTCTCAGGGGCTCTGGCGGTATACTTCCAGGAGCTCCGAAATGTGGTTCAAACTCCGACTGAAGAAGAAGGGGATCTCTCGGCTTCACAGAAGTGTTCAGTCACTGTGGTTATTCAGGATGGGAGAAGCCGGGAGTGTTGTAAAGGCGCAGAGCAGGAGGAGAGATGAGACAGCGATGGAGAGGGAGGATGCAGTGCGCAGGGCACCCGTCTGATTTCCTATCCGCCTTTACCACTTTCTTCCAAAATCCTTTAAAACGTCGAGTCGGTCTAGATTGTAGAAATTCTTTTTTAAATATGAGAACAATTCATACACACACCGTCGGTCAATGGGCTCCTTGTTTTCTGGCGTGGGATACAGGAGTAGCGGCACTCTGCCTCCAGTCGGCGGTGCGCAGCAGAGCCAGGTGGCGGTGGGCGGGACTGCCGAGGAGGAGGGGGCGGCGACTGGGCGGCGACTGGGCAGCAGCCAGCATCTGTGTGTCCTAAAACAGGTTGGAAAAAGCGGGGTCAGGTCAAGTCGAAGTGGTTTCTACCAGCAGTAGCAGCGGCTCTCTAAGCTTCTTCACGTCAGGATCTCCCAGGGTCCAGGGAGATCACTTCAAGGTTTTTATTTACCCAAAGACAAAGGAAACGACTGCCATCACACATATGACTGGATAATTAAAGGATACCTTCAAGTCTGTCTTCATTTTTTTTTACATGACCATGTGTGCATAAACTCGTCATTAGTTGCTGATATTGCATTATTTGCACACAATGGATTATTATTTTACAGACATTTACTTTTCACCCCATTACCTAAATTGAACGTTCTTATGAAGGTTGTCTTTGTTGCCAGTATGGATTGGAACAAGAATTTCAGCGACAACATTTTATTTGTGTCCCGCATTGCTTTGAGAAAGATGCTAACAACGTTGAACCATCATTCAAATCTTTGCTTAATGAGACGAGTTAGATACTAGATACAAATACTTTGTGCATATCCATTCAACTACATGAATTGAACCGGGTTACCAATTTGGTTAAGCTTGGGACCCCCCAGAGTGTCTTTAGGGACCCTCAGTGATCCTTGAAGCCCGCTTGGAGCAATACTTGCACCAACAGCAGTGGAGTGTCATGGACAACAACAACATCCAGCCAGATGACTGCTTGAGGAGCTGGTAGGCTGTTGTGAGTGCAAGCAAGTGTGATGCATGTCCCCACACACACACACACACACACACACACACACACACACACACACACACACACACACACACACACACACACACACACACACACACACACACACACACACACACACACACACACACACACACACACACACACACACACACACACACACACACACACACACACACACACACACACACACACACACACACACACACACACAGTCTATCTTCCCTCAGCTGAAAAAGACACAGGCAGGCTGGCCTGCAGTAACCTAAGGCAAACACTTTCCCCGGACCATCTGGAAGTCATCTCGCCCGCAGAGCCAGTGAAAGCACAGAGCAGAAGCTACGTTTACAACTCGGTGATAACAACCGCTCCACTTGAACTGCATGGTTGAACAAGTCATGCACCAAGGCCCGATCATAGCATCTCATACATTTAAAGATTCTACTGTATTTTGTCCTGTAATATTCATATACTTGTATGTGCGTTGGTGGTGGTGTTAACAATAACTCAAATTGATTATAAGACCTTTATGAATATTTAGTCCCCTCTTGTCTGATGTCAGATAACTACGTGGTTTCTAATTTACAGAGGTGAATACAACTAAAAAACTAATTCTGTGTGTTTTTACTCAAAAGTACTTCATCCGCCCTATGGAGCATCACCACAACTCTTCCACTTGTCTGTCACGAGCTGTATGTAAAATATTGTTAGCACACCATCAACACAGAGCTCATTGTTCCCTCAACGCAGTCTCTGTGGGGAAAAGATGATGCCATTAATGGCAATTGTTTGCAACATTAACATTGTGCGTTTCTCTCCTTCCCTTCAGCTCTCTCCCTCTCACCTCTCCCTTGTCTCACAGCTTCAGCGGCGGGTATGTGTTCTCAAAGGGAATATGGATAGGTAGAGTCTCTGGCTCTCTGACGAGCACAGAGCAAAGACTGTGTGCTCTACTTCCATCTTTCAGTCTGGGTCCTTTTGTTAATCTCTGACAAAGGCAGTGGGCTACACAGGATGTGTGAATAGATATAGGGGGAGAAGGTATGGGATAGAAGAAGAGGGAGAGAATATTGGATGAAAATAGATTAAAAGAAAATTAGATGTGGTTCATAATGAAATTAATGAAAAAGGAAAGATTGTGGTGAATTGATGTCTGAGAAAATAAGTGGCTTCTGAATCAGACATGAGAGGTGCAGAGGTAATGTGCCAACTCAAAGTGAATAACCTCTTCCTAGTCCGAAGGAACCAGCGGGGCTGTGAGGATGCCGTCACTCTGCGCCTATTTGTGTCCTCTGGTTTGTTCCCGGAGAGCAAGTTCTCTCATGGCAATCACAGCGAAACATCTTGACGGCCGGAGGCACAAGGATAGGCGTTGAGGAAACCTGCAAGGGAAAAGAGAATAGGGCAATGATCTGTGTGTGTGTGTGTGTGTGTGTTGTGTGTCCTGTGATAACGGTGCAGGAAACACACAGTGCCTGTTTTTGCTGCAGGGGTTCCTGGAAGTCAGCCGCCCAGTGTGATCGGCGACACACACACAGACACACACACAGACACACACACGTGAGGACGCACACAGGATACCTCGCCTCTGAAAGGGAAAAACATGCTGCGTCTGATACATGTGGACACAGACAAGCAGACTTCCTGCATTTTCCCACCTACTGGGCGGCCACCTGTAACACAGTCACACACACACACACTCACACACTCAGATTACATTCTGTGGGACAAAGCCAGAATGAGACAAATATAAGTTGGGAGTTTGGGAGTTTACAGTAAACAAGTGCCATTCAAACCCTGTCATTATCTGCCATTGGGTCAACAACAGTCTGGGTCCAAGAAGCTCGTCATCATCAACACCACCACTGGTTATAAAAACAACAGGATAAGCAGGGAGATATATCTAAAGTTAGGTACAGTACAGTACTTTCATGAGTGTAAGATAAAGACATCAGTAGGGATCTAGTGGAGATGAATCCAGAAAGATTTGCATGAAAATAATGATGCTTCCCTTTCCAACCGAATCAGATTTAGATCTTTGATGCTTTTAGATATGTTTGTCACACCCTGATTCTCTTCTACATTTTCGAGCTAGTCTCTCCAATATCTCATGTTCACTTTAGATCCTCCTCCTCTGAAGTATCCCATGTGTCAACGCCATTTCCTATCACCTGATCTACCACCTGTTCCAACTTCCCCATTAGCCTTGCAGTATAGCTTGTATGTGCTTTTAACTTATCATTACAGCCATCATCTGTGCCTGACTTCTGCCCTTTTGCCTGACCCTAACTGGATTATTTTGCCTTACTCACATGTCGGGTATTGACATCGACGTTAACACCTACTTGTTTTTTGGAATATGCACAGGAATAAAAAAAAAATGCAGTTAATTCAGGTACATGTTTGAATCATCCAATACCACTATTATTGTTCGGTAATTGGGATTAACTCTATCAAGTACAGTATATTCATTTTTTTAAAGAATGGTGTTCAAGGTAACTTTTAAATTGTCCACAAGCTATTCAGCAAATAATTAATACCTGATGAATCCACTACGGATAACAAATGAAAGTAACATTTATGGAGACGTGGAGTGCTAGTCTGTCAAGGGTAAAATGTGACTTTTATTAAATGTCTTCTCAAGGTCGAATGATTTCAATGTGCTAAACGAGTGAGGGATTTTGTGTTAACTGCATGGCTCAAATGTAATGTTTGACAAAAACATTTGATTTATCTATTTGGCTTAACTTGAGGCATTTCTGCAACATTACATTCCATCATCCACATGCCATTGAAATCCATTTACGAAATACTGAACTGAATCAAATACAATAAAAAAACATCCCTGTCACAAAATAAATACATTTTTAAATTCCAAATATTTCTCTTCAACTTATGTAGAAAGTATAAAAAGCAATGAATTAAATTAACCAACAAAGACAAAATCCCCAACCTTACTTCAAAAGAGATGCAAAGGGATTTTAAGAGGGAGGAATAGACACAGAGCTGCATGATGGGATGGCAGCTGCAGTGCAGCATCTTATGCAGGTACCGTGTCTGGAGAGGGATCTTACTCACACACTGGGGTATTATGGAATTCAACCACCGTCTGGCTCGTAGCAAAGGAGAGGAACTAAGTGGGCGAAAAACTGACAACCTTGCCTTCCTCCATGAGAATGTAAATGAGTCTTTCCAACTTCCAGAGAAGACCGGCTAAATATCTTGACAGCCTGCAAACAAGCAAGACAATAACTTTCAAATCACGCTGTCGGACAAAATCAACAGCAAACAGAAAGGATGACATCTTGACAAATATATTACATTTAAAAATGCGCTATGGGCATGTTTCCTTTGCGAGGAGATAGAGAAAAAACAAAACAAAAAATGATATCCCAATTGTTTTGTCTTTTGCTTACATCAAATCCTGAAATATACGTCTGTCATTGCTTCTCTCCTGAAGCCTGGAGGGTTTCCCACAATGCTCGGGGCTGCTATCTCATATGCATTTCATGTGAACATGTGAAAATCTCCCTGTTTGTTTGCAACCACACCGCTCCTCTTTCTGCCTAGCCCTCTCCTCCCTTTTTCATCACTCCCATGATCGCTCTGCTTGTGAAAAGAAAACATTTACAGACAAGAGGAGGACAGACAAGATGCAAGGAATGTTCTGTTGCTTTCCTGTCAGTCGGTCTGGCAGAAAGTCTGGGTTTTTTTTCTGAAATGAGCAGAACCTCGGAAAGTTGAGTCTGGATTTTACACCATTAATTTGCCAAGACGGGACAATGTTTTAACAACTGGAAGTGTACTCAGTCAATGAAACCTTTAAAACACATCTCGGAAAAATTAGGAAGCCAGGTATACTTTATAGCCTCGGGACATTATACACACTAAAAAACACTGGGGCATTTTATATTTACGGCTCATGGACATAAACTGTAAAGGAGCTCCCGCCATACCCATAATTTCCATGCAATAAGAAGTTACTCATTATGAAAATGCAATAAAGGCATTTCCTTTACTGTGAAGGTTTTGCCTTTTGTAATTCCTACCCTCGTAGCTTCCCTTCGACAGCTGTGCTAATCCCTTTGTTATAATGTTACTTGGTTCTTCTGAGCCTCTTGATGTTGGTGAAACTATTGTACAGTGGAATTCAATTGATGAAACTACTCGT